CCAAATTGCAACGCTTCCCATCATCACAGAACATATTATAGAATGACAGTCATCTCTCTACTTCAACTTCATCGACTTTGAGAAGGCCTTTGACTGCGTCGACCGAAAAGCAATTTGGAAACTGCATCAATACTACGGAATACCGCAAACCTTTATCAGCCTCATTCAACAACTATATGAAGACGCCACATGCCAAGTGATCCACAATGGAAAACTCAATGACGCCTTTGAAGTGAAGACAGGAGTGAAACAAGATCGCCTACTATCCCCCATGATATTCCTGATTGTGGTCGACTGGATCATGCAACAAACAATGGGGAGCGAGAAGAGGGGGATACGCTGGACCGCAGAAAACAATCTAGAAGATCTGGATTTCGCCGATGACTTGTGCCTGATGTCACACAAACTTGAAGATCTACAGGCGAAAACTAACAAGTTGATAGAAGAGGAAGCGAAGACGGGAGTTCAAGTGAATATAGAGAAGACAGAAGTGATGAAGATACCCAACCAACAACAACAACAACAACAAACTCTAATCACCATCAACAGGAGAAACTTGAAGGAAGTAACCTCCTTCACCTATCTAGGAAGCACTGTTTCAACTACAGATGCCACAGGCACAGACGAGGATGTCAAAGTCAGAATGGGAAAAGCAAGACAGGCTTTCATTGACCTGAAACCAGTGTGGAGATCGTCTGCACTCAGCATATGGAACAATATCCGGATTTTCAACACCAACGTCAAGTCAGTGCTTCTGTATGGATCACAGACTTGGAGCGTTACAAAAGGGATTTCCAACAAACTACAGACATTCATCAACAACTGCTTACGCTCGCTATTGAAGATCAGATGGCCAGACTGACAGGAATAAGCAACAAGGAGCTCTGGGAACGAACCTGTCACCCAACAAATATGCAGAAGGAAGTGGAGATGGATTGGGCATACACTGAGAAGGTCGAGTGGGGACATCACGCTTTAGGCCCTCGAGTGGAATCCCCCTGGGAAGTGACGAGTTGGATGTCCGAGAATGACATGGAAGAGATCGTGCGAGGAGGAAATGAGAGTTTGTGGGCTGTCGTGGAGCTAGGTTCAAAATATTTCAGAGAAGAGAGTGGAATGGAGACGTGCTACTGAAGCCCTATGTTCCACTAGGAACCCAAGTGACAAAGAATAATAATAATAAGCTATTTGTGTTCGGATAGCCTAATTGACTTTGGTCGACTATGTTGGCTCACGTGTTTGACCTCGCAATCGTTGCAAAGGATTTAGATCAGTAGGATCTTTCATTTAACCTGGGAAGTTGATTTCTAATTGACTTTGTAGGTTTAAATACCTTGTTGAGAATCTCCTGCATAATGTCACTGAGGTGGCTTTCGTTGTATGGTAATAGTGTAGAGATTTTGAATTCTCTCTTCACAGTTTCACCGTTATTATTACTATAGTTTTTAATACCTGTGCTACAACTATCTGTGATGATTTTCCTACGATTACTAAGGAATTTGTTTACTAGTTCAGGAGAGTAATTATTGATGAGTGAGTTGTCTTTAATGTGTCTGATTTCTTGTCTTAGATCTTCTGTCTTACTGGTATGTTTCTTGGCCCTGTTGTGTAATCATTGTACTAAGCCAACTTCAAATGGCATGGGATGGGATGATTTGATGTCTCGAATCATTACTTGGACTCCCTTCCCAGAATCACAGAACAGTTACGGCAGAGCCAAAGTAACATCTATTCCAGTCAGATCATATATAAATAAATATAAGTCACTGAGACTAAAGTAGGCGGAGCAGGGTGTGAACCATGAACTAATTATTTGAAAGTTGAGCTCCGAAACAAATGATCCAGGTTTCCACACTTACATATTACGTTTCAGAAACTACTCGATCTAGATTTAATTGTTGACTTAGTCCCACGAAATCCTTAGGCCAGCAACAAAAGACTACCTGGTAGGAGAGATGGGCTGTTCTTAGGATTGGTTTATTTTAATTCTCATCATAATCATCAATATAAACATAGGACCAGGCATTACTGCGTAACGGTACGAGTTGCCACACGTTATATCAGTACATCAAGTACAAAGTTAGTAAGGTGAAGGATGAAAATAAGAGAATGGAGTCAAAAGAAATATAAAGTACTAAGAGAGAAAGGAAGAATGAGAAAATGGTGAGATTCGGCATAATGTTAAGATGACTTCGGTTCTGAGCCATATCACCTAGAGTCTCCAACCATTAGTTCTTCTTGTCCCGCGGACACCAACCACCTAGTCCGCATCGTCCACATGGTTCAAACCAATAATCAAAGACTTCATACATTGGTGCTATGTCTTAGTCTGGCCACCTCAGGCCTTTTTCCAGCCTGGACCTACTTCAACCAACATTGTGTGAGGAGGCAATAGATGACTAGGCATACATAGTACGTGTCCCAACCATCTCAATCGATGAAGGTTCACGACCGTGTCAACTAATTTACCTATACTCCCTAAAACTCTATACCTCACTTCTGCGTTACTCATCTGGTGACACCACGGAACACTGCATATACTACGAAGGTAACGGTGGTCAAACACTTGAAGCCTTTTTATATCTTACACTTTCAATGGCTATGTCTTACAGCTATACAGTAGAACAGATCGGACTGCTGTGCAGTACACGTGACCCTTAGTAGACAAACAGATATCACGGCGGCGCCATAGATGGCGTTATTTTATTTCTGAATTCAGACAACAAGAAGGTATCGTTGGTGTATATATTGTTCATCTTTGACAGATACCATTAACAGTAATTTCTTACATGAACAGCAGGATGTATTTGTTTCGAAGGATATCGCCTGAAATAGTTATCTATTAGATTTAATATCACAGTACGACGAATACATCTTCAAAGCAAAAATGAAGAAGTTTAGTTAGGTAGAAAGGCATCTCGCAGATACATTAGGAATCTTACTCTGATGAATAGTTAAACGCAGTCTCAACGTAAAAAAAACTAATGGTTTTCTAGGTGATGATGAGCATTGGAGAGTGATACAAGATAAGGAGTTTAGTATATAAAAAAATGTGACACTTGACTTTTAATCAGTGGGCGTCAGGTTTTAACTCAATCCCACTTACTTCAGGTAAAGCAATTACGTAGAATAAAATATCCTCACCAAGTATGGTTCATAGTCTTGGATATAATTATCTGTACAGCTTCAGTTGCATTACTTTATTTGAACACATCTAAGTTGTTCTTTTTGTTAGCCTATCGTCTACATCATTTTCAAGATTTGATTCTGATGATCTGATGTATCTACTGTTGCAATAATTTCAATAATGTCAGCGTATACTGATTCTTATTTATGGATACACGCCTGCATACGACCAAGAAGACTTTATTGAGGAACTTTTTTCGTTCATTCACCTGTACTTCATGATAATGAAATTGTACACGTGGGACGACGCTGAAACTGATGAGCTAATGGAACTATAAAATTCATTATTGACAAACTTGACATTTGTGCCCGAGGTTTTAGTGGGACGATTTTCACGACCAATGAACTGATTGATGACGAGATTTATGTTTGTGACCAGGCATGAAGAATCACAACACTGAAACCTTATATTGTTAGATTTCAACATAATAATTTACAGGTGTATATTTAAGAACTTAACTGTAATAGCTCTCAACCGGTGTGAAACAACTGTTCACAATTTTTCGCCCCTGAATCTTTCGTAGAGAAAAATTCACTTAGGAACTTTGCAATAAATCTATTGCTGGGAAATCCTTAAATCAAGTCGATTCACTGAATAGCAATCTAATATGAATAAAATCCTGTCATTCAGAACGCTATTCGCCATAATTTTAGTTGGAAAATGTTCCTGAAGTACAAATAAGGAAAATCATCAGAGTTAAGCTTGATAAAAATAAGAAATGTGTACCCGCACTACCCATTTAAATAGATCACACAAACAAAAACAGCTAGTTAAAGTACACAACCATATAGATAAAAAGACTCATTTATTTGGAAATAAGTCGAAAGAGAACCTATTTAACATGTTAAGCACAAAGCAGATACGCGCTCGGGTGGCGCACAGTAAAATACCTCAGTATGGATTCACACTGATTGGTCAATGGGAGAGATCAACATTATGTCGTCTAGTCCCATGTACTGACCGAACTCTATCTATCATCTTGCAATGTGGTCACCAGGCTAGGAAACTCACCATCGCGATGCACTTTAATACGTACTAGTTAGATGGAGGCAATTGGCAGGAACCTCCTGCACCTAGGTTTCCCTCCTTCTTGACACTCGTCAACAAGGTGTATCTGCAACCTAGACGGAACTGAAGTTGCTTACCCACCACTGGCCAATCAATGCATGTACTCCAATCCTACAGGAGGTCAATCGCAGCCCGAACAGCACAGTGGTGATGCGGATTTGAATCTCAGGCGGGACATCAGTTCCATGGGGGTTACAGATACAGCTTGCTGACTGGTACCAAGGAGGAAACCTAGGCGCAGGGCTTCCTTGCCGACCGCCTCCATCCAACTAACATCAACACAGACAAGCTTTAAAAACGTAACTTAGATATGGTAAAGTGAGGTGAATATTAAGCTGTAATAACAATTACAACAATCACACAAACTAAATGTAGTCCCTTATTCAATTATACGTAGCGTCAAATGACAAAAAATAGAATACGAATAATTAACAGTCACTGTCTGATTTCAGCATGTATTCGCTAAATTGGAAGGCATTTTTCACAACAGACTGTCATCAGCGTTGAGTATTAACATAATTACTGTTAAACCTAAAAATCTCAGGTTCGATTATATGGAGAGGTAATGCAGTACGACGACACAGTTGGTGTAAGTGATTGGTTGATTCATGGTGATTTTGTAGATGATGTTCGTCCACAATGAATATAACCTTTGGATAGACTAATCACAATTCAACGACCTGATCAACTTCAAAGATAGTGGCATAAGACATATGAAATATTTCCTTACCATAATTCAACTTACCGACACCAATAAATAAAAAGAACATGAAAGAATTAGAAGGTTGGGAACAACTACACCTTTAAGTAGATAAACTAAAATGCTTTTCAAGCAAAGTGAAAATGTTTGCATGGAGAATAACAAGATGAAAGCGCAGATCATCCACATTGCCGAACAAATTAGAGTTGGTATTGTTGCGACGTAAACTAGGACCCTGAAATATATGAAAATGAAATAAATGCAAATGAAAAGATAATTAAGAGCTTTTGATGAACCATCTGGGAAATATTTCAACACATTTATTTATACTACTCAATAGTAGATCCAAATAAATGCGTAAAAGCAACTGTAATGATGTGACAGGTGCAGCATACTAATTTTTCTGGAAATCCGATTCAATGGTAAAATGAGTTTTTCACTTTCAAACGACAGGAGACATAGCATACCTTTTCAGCTATCATATTAAAATAAAATCCGTGGAAGATGGGAGATTGTACAATTCATAAATAGTTGAAGATATGTAAAAAAAAAAATGAACAGAACTACTGATGATCAAAAATCGAAAGTCACACGCTATATAAAACCCTGTTTGTTTTGTTATATCCCTTTGAATAACTGGAATCATGTGGAACGGTAATACACGATTCAAGTTCTCTTCTAGCAACATACAAATCCTCTTATTTCGCCTAAAGTTGAACAGACCACCCGGGGTCCATACAAGCGTGTTTCTTAAAATTTATTGTTTGAACAAAGCAGTAGCAAACAGATTTGATATTTACTTAGATATTTATCAACTGCATATAATCTAAAATTACATATCTGGGTCACGATAAATGGTAATTTATGTATGATTACACACAGAATTAGATCCTGACTATGATGATAAGATTGCATGGAGCTGAAGAATATCAATGAAATAAAATAATTTAGTTTTGCGAATCTGCTTGTGCACTTTTGTCAAGGGAAAGAAATATATTAATTATTTAATGAAATAATAATTGAATTTGAGACGAAGAAATGACATCTAATAGGACTGAAACTAGGGATCTCCAGGTTATCGGTCGCAGGCCTCACCAACTGAGCTGCGAGATGCAGCTTCAACTCCAATCACCACACTAATAATTAACACAAGCTGATTTAACTCAGGTAGTCTCAGTAACAATTGATTGCTTGTTTTTGTACGAACCCAGATGATGATAAACCATTCAAACAAAATAAACTCATTTTGTTCTGCAAACGTTATTAGATTACTTATAGATTTCATGAGATAAATTTGCTCACTTACCAGCCCCAAAGTGCATAATTAGATAAGCAATCGTAATATAATGCATTGAAAATTTTTTACTAACTTAAATCGCTCCGTACTGTAGGAATGAAATTTAGTCAATATTTTTCATGAAACTTCCTTTATCTATTCATGGCAATTGTTAAAGAATTATTTGTTGATAACTGAAGGGAAATTGATTGATATGCACACAGCTGTGATTAGAATTGCTGCATATATTGATTTTATCACACACATTTTAAGACTATCTAACTCCATATGATGTCTGAACTGCTAAGAACACTAGGAAATTAATCAGCTTAATAGCTTCAATAACTAAAACCATTATTCCCTTTTATGAATTTGGATACCTTATCCAATTAGGTTTTATAAACTTCAATAACATCAGACATTTATTGGCGTCTTAAGAATGCGTAAATCAAATTGAAGCGTAGGGATATGAAAAGACTATCAACTTAGCCGGATCATAACATGAACCCATGATCCAGGAGAAATACGTCCACATTTTATAACGTTGATTTTGTGAGCCAGATCAGCTTTCGTGCTTTTCAGTAAGCGAATTTTTTGTTATGCGCAACACATTATTGGAAATGATATCATTGTTTACCAGTGACGCAAGTCATCCCATGCATACAATAATTACAAATTCAGAGAAGACTAGCAAATATATATATATATATATATATATATATATATATATATATATATATATATATATCATCTGTGTGCTCTAGACCTACCAAAGATTCACATGTGATGAAATCAGCAATATGACGACAGAGAGACCTTCATAAGTACGTCTGTGATAAAGTTGAACAGGAATGGAGAGAGTGGATATCCTTAACAAATACCACTCGGTGTACACAGCTCACCTGACAACTCAACATGGGCTGTAACACACCGATGGATGTTCATGAACATAGTCTTCAGCAGACTGGTCTACTTACTTGGCACGCTTTCACTGAGACACCGCCATAAAACCTCTCGATCGATGGCGTCGAATGCCACCTTCACGTTGAGATATGCAAATAACCCTTCCACAGCCTAAGGTACAAGCCTTTGACTTATGAAGCTTGTTGGCCGATTTGATGGAGTGTATGAAAACTGAAAAATCCAATGTGGGGTAGAAAAGTGTATCATTTTAACGGCCGGCCTTTTATGGCGACCCCTCTACTACATGGAAGGTAGCATAAATTTAAAACTGCTGGTCAACAGTTGGAAACACCTTACTGATGTTACACTCACGTGCAGTTAGCAGTACAACTTCGCCCTCCAACTCCCATTATAGCATAAAAATCTACACTACGACGGTAAAAGCGTTTCGCTTTGCCAATATCCAACATGCCTTTTTGGTATGGTAGGATCTCGAGGGAACAAATGTCCCGCCAGCACAGCTTGTTGGATCACCGTGATGTGCAAGGCCGGTCACTGCGAAAAGGTAGCAGCTATCCTGCTCTAGTTAACATTATGCATCATGGTGAATACTGGGCATGTGCAACATTTTTCAAGCAGCTTAGTCGAAGAAGGCTCACTAATGCACTAACCATTCTACGCTTAACACAACCATCTTTTACGTTATGGATCCATTATACGCTCGCAGCGCTACATGATCAATAGCCCGTAACTTCAACGACCATATCTAAAAGATATTTAGTAGGGGGAAAATACTTCTATAATACATTCATTAATTGTTAAGTAGTCAAATACATTACCAGTACCAGAAATAAGTTGGGAAATTAAAAACGATTATTTGATACGTGTGGTGAGATTTCATCAACCAACAGCCTGTCATGACTTATGTGACTGCGCAAATAAATGAAGCAATGAATATATATTACCATTTTACTCCCCATTGTTACACTAAAAGTTATTGTAAACCAAACCTGCATACGTTTAATCAAGCAGATAATTTCCAGACACTAAATGAATCCCTGAGAAGTCAGAAGTACACACTTCCATCAAATAACAAATCCATTCACAGAATTTTTGAAGGTGGAAATCGCTGATAACCTTCAATTGAAACATTCCTGAAGAATATCTATAGTCAAAATGACAGCGAACTGAATGTCAAAAACTATTATTTTGAAGACAAACCTTGTAGGCAGTAATGACACCAACAGTCTAATGACTCTGTTCTAAACAATTTATATACCTCATATATACAAGTGTTATATCCCCTTGTATTTGTGTTTTCTGCTACAAAGACTAAAATGACTGTCGAAAAGCTTGCTTCACTTTTTAGGCATTATAATACGGCCAGGTTTACAACGGAAGGTCTGAATTTATAAGTGTCACAGTCTGAGTGATTTATATACAAAGGGGAAAAGCTGTTTTCGATGAAAATTTTCTACTAGAAGATAGAGTCTGATAATATCCAGGAAAAGTTAAGCATAAAAACAGCTTGGGTAATATTAATGTCTATACCTAAAAGTGGAGAAAAAACATGCTATTCAAACTTCATGTGAGCATAATAACAATATTTGATCAAAAAGGTACTTTGAAAGACATACCCAGGTAAATTAAGTTCCAGTTGTCTAGAGTTAATAGTCCAGACTAAAAGTAAAAAGCCAAGTTTGCCAATACTCCTAGACTGTGTGTACATTTCACAACTAGTCGTATTTGAATTGATTACAGATGGCAGTATTAAAGCAAAGCTGGTCATCAGACAAGAACAGGCTACATAAACGAAGTAACGCAATATGTTATCATAAACTGAATGATAAATTCAGGGAACTCAATGATATGCAATAATAAAAACGTTACACATGACTAAACAACCTTACCTACTGTCATATGCATTCTCATAGAGCAAAAAATATTTCTGCAGATTATTTATACTTTGTTGGTGAAATATGGAGTTCTTCATGACATTACACTAGCGCTATTCCCTCAGCACCAAGAAGGTATTGCAAATGAAATCATCCATATCTATTGTATTATTAGTTTTATATCGACAATGCAGTAGTTTTAATTCTTTTACAGTAAGTTGTCATGGGAACACAGAAGTATCACGCTACTTCAACAATATAATTAGTATTAATTTTCTCACAGTACAATATCTTAGGGAGTGAAAACCATTGACAACTTAGGGTTTGTCTTGGTTCTTGAGTGATCAATAAGATTTGCAGCAGGGCACCGAATGTCAACCCGATCAGGAAATGCCGTATGTTCTCAAACAACTTTGAACACGACTCATTACATCGAATAATGGATAGCCAGTAGTAATCAGTCGTAAGCAAAGTTAACTGTGAATCGATTCCAGTTGAAACATTTTAATCTCAGCACATAGTGGCGGAATTCAGTTAGGAGAAAACAGTGAGATGAAAATAATAGTAGTAATAATGATAATAATAATGACAGGAGATATGAATTTAACCCACTAATAGGTACCAATAACTTACAAAACTGGATCAATACATGATTGTTTGAACTAAGGGACAGTTCACCTTTTGGATACATAAACAAGACAATTTGAGGCCAAACCAATACGACAGCAGAATGGAAATAAGCTAACATACTTATTGACTGAATAAATGCATGAAACTGGAAAGAAGACAATTGAACAATTGAAAGATCGTCATTGTAACTTTAATTTGAATGATCGTACAAGTGTAACATCAAATGAAGTTGGTACTAGTGGATTTAATGACAATAATGAAACAGAAAAAAATGAATAGTATGTGCGAAACTGGAAGTGAACAAGAAATCCAATATTGGTTTGTGTTAGATAACTGAATCACCAGTCAGCTACAGTTACCGATATATATATATATATATATATATATATATATATATATATATATATATATATCTTCTGAAGTTGACAAACGAAATCTGAGAACGTGATCACTACTTGAGTACCTTATGAAAAACAAACTGTAAAAAGATTATTGGTCGACTGAATACTGTAGAGAATCCTGTTGAAAGATTTTCAAAATTGAGTAAATATTGTGTACACAATACACATAACTTGAACAAACACATCGACATCTTATGTTCCATACCTAGTTTATTTAACTTTGAAGGCAAGACATATCCTTTTTAGAAAACCGACATTATATGTTCCTAATGTTTGTCAGCTTTAATCAGAAAATACAATTAAACCAAACTACTACACAGAATGAACAGCATGAAAGTGTGAAAATTAAAATCGACAATCTTTTATTGTGGATTTTGTTTTTTTCTGATATCTTATCCAAACTTTGCAGGTAACTATCATATACCTCTCATATAAACAGCATTATTATCTGCACCTTTAAAATAATACATAGCATTCATATGTATCAAGCGAGATGAAAATATGGTATGAATTAGCAAATTATGGAATGATTTTATATTTTTAGCTAACGACCTGCCACTTTCCTATGCATTTTACTACATAGTCAACCTCTATGAATTCATACGTGTACACCTATCTTTTACTTACTCCGTGAACTCAAAATATGCTGGAAAAATTACATCGCCTGATGTTCCTTTAAGTTTTTTCAATGACCTCAGTCTGCGAAATAAAGGTTAACTCGACCATGAGTTCATGTTATATGCTACTCAATGCAGTATTACTTCAAAGAACAGCAGATGAGCTTGAAATAAAGAAATTTTAAGGGCGAATCAATGATCAAAAATGCCTAGCTTTTTACCTCCAGTGTTATAACAGTTTTTACAACCTACATATTGTTGGTGTCTCGGTTGTGTGAACTACAATGTATTTTGAATCTCATCTAAGTGAAAGTAAGTCACCTTTAGTCAAGAAGCAATGTAGATGTGCTGTTCCGGTGAATCAATCCGAATATATATTCAATCGGTTATTTCGTAGACCAAATAAATGAAAAAGATACATTAACGCTATTTTGATAAATATATCACACAGTAAAGTATAGACTAATGGTAACATGGGTGGGTAGTCAACATATTCAAATCGAAATTGAAATGCAACCAGCAGCCTTGTACAATTTCATGCAGAAGCAATAAGCCACACCTATTGTGTAAGGCTTAATGATATAACCCAGCTACCCAAACCCGTGAGACGGAGCGGGCTTCGAACCTGTGACCCATCAGCTGAAAGTCATCTCCCTAAACAATCAGTTACAGCTCCGTAGATTTAAATACAATGTTTCAACAGGAAACGTCATTATTTAAGATCATATTGCAGTTGGCTTTAGCCAATATATAGAGGGTATGTAGCTGAGACATCCAAAACTGATAAAAAACAGTTTATCGATGCATCCTGGTCTCCACAGACCAATGCTGATTGAGTATGAAGTTTTTCAATTAAATCAAGTTGTCTAAGCTAAGTAATCAGTCAAATGAAAATATACTCTAAAATATTATGTGTAGGCAAATTGCTGCATTCGTCTGGGAGAGAAATAAAGTCAACTTGATTGTCGTCTTCTAATTAACCTTTACATAGATGTCATCATTTCAAATGTAATAGGAATTATGTAGTTCGATGTATAAGAAGACTCCTATCGATTTATCCTAGTAGTGAACTGTTTGATCTCGACAAACACATATTTTCAACCATCTGACATAAATGCAGAGTTGATATTTTTTTCATATGTATCCGCAAAACAGATTTTCAGAAAAATGAAGTTTTTTTCTGAGTTATTTTAAACTAACACATGGCAATCTAGAAAACACTTGAGTAAATACAATTTCATGTTTAGTTATGCCAGTTATTGAATAATTCAGCTCCATGGACTGTCGAATAAACAAATGACAGAAGTTGATGAGTGAATATAAATGCAACCTTTGCAACTGTTTATTTGAGACCGAGTTAGTCCTCAGAAATTTCTCTTTAGATATATTAGTAGTTAGTTGAATACACTGGACATAGAACAAGGAAGTATGCTGCCCAACTTTTCAAATTGCAGAGATTTTATGCCACATGTCACATACATACTATAGTGTCATGATACTGGGACGTATATTCAAGTAAACATTCAGATCGCTATGAAAACCAAAATGGTAAGTTTATATGTTGGAGAGGAATAGCGTGTATGAACTGTAATGTCTAGAATGAACGTAACAATATTTAGCAAAATATCTTATCTAACAAACGTCATGCATCATTAATATAAGCCACAGATTTTAGACTCTATGGGAAAAATAGATCTAATTTATATTCAAAAATGAGTTTATACTGTTGGCTAGGTGATATACTTCAAAACACAAGAACAGACCTGTGTAAAACATGTGACAAATATTGGAAACTTTAGCAACTGAGCAGCCAATTCTCTCACGCAAAGGTACATCCTTTCACTGCAGATAAACCCAAATCATTAAATACAAGCCTAGGACAAAACCTTTTTCAAAATGCACACGGTGATTCAATGTATTATGGGTCGAAGAGTCATCGATATATTTATTAATCCACAGTAAAGCTAGTTTCAGAAATGCTGGAACCAAACAACATGCAGATAAAACATGCCACCTGAACAGTTTAATAGCAGAACCCCGATTCGCGATAGCAATGCACTCTTCTGCAGGCTACTCTGTTTCATATTGGCAGATCCCCTATGGATAAATAAACAAAAACAGAAATAAAAAATCGCTATAATCGAATGAGAACGTGCTGTAAATTAACCCAAGAATAAGTAACATTCTGGCTACATACACCGAAATATTACATTGAATAAAAGGCAGGCTATACATGAATATTATATCAACTTTATGATATATATTCTGTTACGGAAAATCCTTTAAACTAAATCCATTCCAATTCACAGTATTTCGCTATGTTTTACAACAAGCATATGAGTGACTGAATTGACATCAAGCTCAATGAAATAGAGCACTGGATCAAGAGGAGGGTGTCGATTATGCGTATACTCCGAGAAGCACATAATTATATGCATTCCCTATGAAAGGAGTTGTGGCTCATTGGCTTAGGGAGATGACTTTCAACTAGTGGGTCATAGGTTCGAAGCCCGTCCATCTACCGAGGTTTGGGCAGCCATGTAGTATCATATCTGATTCTGGCTTGTCTTTAAGTTATCAACTACTTAAAACCAACAATCAGCAAAAAATATCGACCAATAATTTTAGCTAAAGGTTTCTTGAGAATAGATGCATTGTATTATCGAAAACAGGATTGGATTGGAAGAAAGATAAGGATGGTCAGAACTAGACATGGATTCACTTCAGAGAGTTCACTCATGCCACTTACAATGTTCTATATGAAGTCACATAATCTAGTTAGTATGGTGTTTTATTACTGGTAAGATAAACTATGAATGAAACAAAAGCTTAAATGCTCACTGGAAAAACATAGGCATGACTTTAAGATAATCAAACAGTGTTATGAAAACCAGTAACATTCAAATTTTCCTTACAATAATACAAAAATGATATTGATTGTTGAGGAAATACATATCCAGGATTCTGAAATGCTAACAGTCATATATAAGCACCACTCGGAATAGTGGAGAACTAAAAAAAGAAGCAAACAAAATGAAAGAAAAAATATATATATTTGCATAAATTAAATGAGCGAATAAAAGTCACTATACTATAGCCAAAATAAATTTACTAAAAATTTCTGTTTTGAATACTTTTATGTAAAAGATACACATCGACAAGTATTTTACATCAAATTCTTAGTCAAGAAGTATTAGGACCCAGTGTGACAGTCTGACAAGAAGGGAACATAACTTCTAACTCCTAAGATACAGAAAGTGACTTGTGATATTTGTCTTATAAAAACGTCCATCTATAAATCACTCTGTGGGAACATCGAAATGTCAAGAAAAATACAAGTGATGATAACAATAGGTACTGGAACGTTTGCAGGATGATGGATAAAATATGTCCGGGAAAATATGCAGCTCCAGTGATAGTACAACAGGTAGTAATGGCACCAACGATCGGTAACTGTAAGCTGTAATGCGTGAACAAAAGATCAAAACTCCGAATGCACGTTAATCGTATAAATGAAACTTCATTCTACTTTAAATGTAACGACAAGACATCTTTGTCTGAGAGGCCGTCGAATTCGCTACTCTGATCTACGATTAGCTAGTCAATATCTACATGATTCTATATTACATTAGTCTGTGTGATATATCAATGAACTGATGCAACATGAAATTACACTCTAACACGGTGTTCAAATTCTATACTTACACCTACATGATTACTACCAAAAAATAAAATCTCGAAATAAGATTTTGGATATCTTCAAGTATCAACTTTACTACTAAGTACTGCCAAGAGGAAAAACAATGCCAAATAAATTAAACTAGCATGTCATGACAATGACAAAAGTTGCGCAGTAATCAACCATAGGAAAAGGATTTAACTAGGGATTTTCTAATACTGTAAAAAGGTCTTGAATGATAACAACGCATATCCCAGTCACAGTATTGCATTCAAATGAATTACATTCTTACACCATGTAAATAAATATTGGTAATTTAACTGAAAATGAGTATGTGAAAAGTTTATTTCACTTACCACACAAGCAGATACCTAAGCTTAAATCAAATATCTCTTGGTTTCCATATCCGTAGGCAAATAAAGTAATTATCGAGAATATCAGACTGACAATACCAGCCCAAAACAGCTGGTTTATGAATCTTCTGTTCCAAAGAGGGTATCTAGGATAAAGTATATAACAGTCACTACAAAACGGCTAGAATAATTCTGATTTTAAAAGTCTTTACGAAGAGAAACATTTTAAACCATATAGTTATGCTATTTGGATGAAAGCGATGGGCCAGATGTCCTGAACCCAGGTTTTGTGCTTGTCAGCACTCGTCAGAAAAGCATATCTGCAACCCCAACGGAACTAATATCCCGCCTGAGATTCGAATCCGCATCACCCAGTGTTGTAGTCAGCGACGTTACCATTGAGCTATTTAGGTCGGGACTGACTTCCAGTAGGACTGGATTAGATGCATTGATTGGTCACTTGGTGGTAACCAACTTCATGTTGTCTAGTCTCATGTGCTGACCGAACTCTATCTATCATCTTGCAATGTGGTCACCAGGCTAGGAAACTCACCATCGCGATGCACTTTAATACGTACTAGTTAGATGGAGGCAATTGGCAGGAACCTCCTGCACCTAGGTTTCCTCCTTCTTGACACTCGTCAACAAGGTGTATCTGCAACCTAGACGGAACTGAAGTTGCTTACCTACCACTGGCCAATCAATGCATGTACTCCAATCCTACAGGAGGTCAATCGCAGCCCGAACCGCTTAGTGGCAACGTCTCTGGCTGCAGCAGTGGGTGATGCTGGTTCGAATCTCAGGGGTTACAGATACAGCTTGCTGACTAGTGCCAAGGAGGAAACCTAGGTCCAGGGCTTCCTGCCAATCGCCTCCATCTAACTAACACCGATTAAACTGCATCACGATGGTGAGTTTCCTAGCCTGGTGACCACATTGCGAGATGATAGATAGAGTTCGGTCAGCAAATGGGACTAGACAACATGAGATTAGCTACCCGCCAATGACCAATCAACACACATTTGTGCTTTGAGTAACCCATATATAAGTACGACAAGTGAAAATAAAATAAACGCAAAATGATGTGATAACGATATTTAAGAAAATGAAAGTGTCAGAGCGAAAAGAATCTATTCTCTGATTTCATTTAGTAAGTTGTACAATCTGACCTACATACAATTTTTCGGTGAGATAGGTTAAAGCAATTTGTTAAGCATAGCAGCAAATAAAGTAATACATTCAAAAACGAAGTATCATTTTCATTCCAAAATAATCAAAGTGTTTAGGAATGTTGAAAATGAATCAAAAGGCATAGTAACATGAAGAATTCAATTTTTATGACCTGAGAATGCAAGTGACTTTAAAGGCCACCCTAGCAACAGCTGAAATAACCAATTAAACTTGTCTATTTTATGAGAATCTGCCTTTCCAGCTAAAATAGAAAAGCCTAACTGGTCATTTCGATCGTTCCTAGGGTAGCCTTCTAAGTAGTTCAAAAATGCAGAGTTCCTCAGATAAGTGAGTTTTACTCACACACAAAACAAATTGTACATTCTCACTAAAAAGAAAGTATATAAGTGTAATTTCGCAGCTCAGTGAATGAAATTGCCCCGACGATCTTTCACTGAACCACTTGTTTTCATTTTCGTATATTTCTTTATGGGGATTTTTGGAGAATACAACACTTACGCCTACCACAGATCAAGTTACAAGAAAATATGAAGCTATATGGTCTAAAATTTATACCCCCCCCTCCCAGCATCTCACTATGTAATTAGCATGCGTTTAATAATACATACACATACATAGAAAGATGACAAAAGAAGATGCGTTAGCAACTTTGCTAACCATGAAACAACCAGACTGTGTAAACGCTGTCTGAAAAGAAAACAACTGCTAGCATATGTAATTTTTGCAGAACACACAAAACAGGTCTTTCTGAATAGTATATAAAGCGTTAGAAATTTAGCTAGCTAGTTCGTACCAACTTATCAATTATCCACAGTGAAACAAAGAAAAAGAGAGTAAACAGTCAACCCATCGTTAAATTTTAGAGGTTGAGGGATTTTCTAAAACCTGGCTCATTTAGTCCTTGAGCATTAAAATCTAATAGTCAACCTTATGCTACCCCACATTAGTTGTACGAGTTTGTTCAGTGGGACAAAGAAATATTAAACTTGAAAAAACGCAAAACAATTTTCATCCTTAGCCAAAACTATTTACCTTTTCCATGATTTAAACAAAATACTTGATATGAGGTGTCAGCACTATTTGATAGCCTTGAAGTATACTAAAGAGACTCAGTAAAACGGTAAACTATTCCACTAGCAGGTGTATTGAGTAACTCATAAATAACTTCAAGTGTAAAACTGAATATTTTAGACTTCGACTTTTGTGAGCAGATTGATTTTTTCCAAAGCACTAGAAACAGACAACATACTACAGACTGCTTGCAGCTCCGTATGAGTATGATAGAAGTTTGAGATCTTTAGAACACTGTTGTATGACAGTGAACATTTCGTCATTAGGCTAGGAAACTTCATGAGAACTTAAATGACTTCATTATCAAGTTATTAAGAAGTCACACAGGATGGTGATGAAAGGCTTGTAACCAAACGGCAAAAAAAACCTGAAAAATACCGGACAGTTGTTACAGGTGTGGTATTTTCTCTTCCACAATTCATTACAACGATTTACGGGCGATGAAAACTCAAGTACCTTCAAGGCCATGCTTCTTTCTTGCAAACTTTAGGTAGCTATTCTTAGGACCAATAAATGAATGCACCTCTGATTAAAACTATCTAGATATCTGGGAACCACGTAAATATATGTAAGAACACAAAGTAGTTACAGTAACAAAAAACGAAGATGGCGAAACAAGGAAACTATGTGAGCAAAAAGCGAGTGTTACTGAGGTATGGCAAGAAGTTACTTTCTATCTCTCAAGAGACTTCAGCCATGTCTTACGGTATCCGGACCTTCTATAGCACAGTTTAGATTGAGAATTATAGACGTAATAATTTAATTTGTTAGTAAGGTACAACCGAAACCATGAAGATAAGATCATCTTCACATCAACGGCCCATATACTCATACAGTTTACACTACGAATGCAACTATTGAATCAGAACCACTCAGATAGCATAATCACCGGATATACGAGGGGTTTCATCCCTAATTTGAACTACTACACATTAGTGAAAGGATGTTCGAGCCAGAATCGAGCCACAGAAATCTAGCGGTAGGTAACATCAATGTAATACACGTAAAAATTTACGTGTCACTGACAGAACTACAACCATAAAAATTCTCTTTAGGTAACAGAATCATAATAGTATCCGTTAATATTAGATCAAGGAACTTACTGCGAAGTTTGCAAAGTGCTCGAAAGACTATTCCAGTACAAGCCAATGACTATGAAAAATAATAACACTGAAATGCACTAAAATGAAGAAAATATGAAATAAATATAAAAAAACTCAATTAAGAAAAGTTAACATATTCAAAAATTATAAAATATTTTTAACGATCCTTCATCAAGTGGGTTTTTCTATCTCTTCAAGACTAATTTTAAGGAACCGAGATGACTGGCTCTGCATAGTTTGTTGAGGGGGGGATATCTACGTAATCTCACGAACCATACTAGGAAACAAGCAAAGTAATCCCTGATAACAGTCAGAAAACCAAGACGACAAAAATAAATTCATTCGATAACCCTTGAAAAAACCAACGTGGATGCATACCTTAAATAGTATACCAAAACAAAAGGTTAATGACGTGGAAACAACGTGAAAGACTAAAACTTATTATTATCAAAACGACATACATGTTTGCCAGTTATATGTGATAACCTTACCTTCAAAACGTATCGTGTTTTAATTGATCGATGGTAGAATTCCAAACATATCATGGATGTTAAGATAAGGAAGATAAAAAGATGAACAACAAACGCAGGAAGATGACTGGTGTACTGAATAATCTTCTTAGGAAGTCGGTATGTGAATTCAGCAAAAGAACTCCAGTCAGCATAGAAGTCACACTTACAATCGACCTATAAAAATTACCTGTAAAGTGAAATTAAATAATTATCTGAAGTGAAAGAGATAAGAAACCATTAACAATAAGTAATTCACGAAACAAGCATTATATGCCTCTATGAGTGACTAGCGATGAATCGCCTTAATTCTTAACTTAAAGAAGGGTCATAAAATTTGAATGAAATTAATTTTGCTCTGCTTGTCGCTGAGTTGAGGTAATTCGAAATGATGTTCTGTCTCTAAAAATAGAATAATAACTCACAATTATCCACAAAGGAGTTAAAATAATAACAATCATTGGACCTATCTTACCAACCAGTAGGTAGAGTAGAGACACATCTGTACTAGTTTCCAAGTACAATAAAGGTTTGGCATAAAAATAGTTTACAAAAGTCTAATTTAGGATCGTAAAACGCACGTGAATCGAACAATACTCTATCGATGCTAACACATGGCTTCAAAAACATCTGCATCATTCATTTTTAATGATTAATAGACAAAAAGATAAGGAGTATAGGACTCCGTGTTCTACCATGAAGAGGATAGGCATCCAAAACTCATATTCAAAGAGTCATTTCTGTCACTTAGGGACAAACAGCTAGACGTATAAAGTTTATGTGACTTAAAACTATAAGTAACGCAGAAATTGCTTTCAAAAATACAGTTAACACATGAAAAAAATTTAAATCTTTATCAAATAGTATAACAAATAGGAAACAGGTATGCTGATGAGACAGGAAAATAATTACATCCATGAATAACACATGATTTTACTTGAAAACAGATTTTGAATGTGAAGTTGCGACAATATTAAGTTTGTTGTTGCAGTCAGAAACAAAATTTCCACCTGAATAAAACAGTACAAGAAAAAAGAAACAACAAAATAAAACGTTAGGAAACAAGCTCCCCAAGTGCACAAGAAAATGTCGTTCTACCGGATAACAAAATCCATCTATACAGTCTGAAATAAACGCTAAATTTACAGGTCTTTCATCGACATTAGAGTGATAAAAATCCCTCTTCTACAACTACTTCAAACAACGTTTCACACTGGTTAGAACAGTAAAACAAACTATGGCAAACGTACCTTTTCTAAATCGAACTACGTTACTCGTTAATATTCAGTAGTATAGAATACAATACAAAAATGCAAGCATCAAGGGAAAATTCTGTTGTCGACACTTAACAAACCGATGCGTTGATTACCAGTAATTCAATACACACATCAACGACAAACAAAAACACTTGGCACAGATGCTAACAGCTCTATTGCTTTTGGTTAACTTACACCATCTGTCGCGCCGGCGAGGTGTCTAACTGCTGAATAAGTGCCGGGTATTAAGCACAGCACTTCGATCTTTTCTACGAAATGGCTGGGAAACATGGTTATCAAGGGTGGAGGACATGAGAAGGCTTCAGGTATTCATTCAGTTTTGCCTTCATAGTGTTGGTCATGTGTTGTGGAATGTAGAAGTCAGTCGTAGAGTTTTTGGCAAAGGTGGTAGGTCAGTTGATCAAGTTGTGGAGCTTCGTCGACTCAGCTGACTGCGACATGTGTCACGCAAGCCTGTTTACCGTTTCTCCCATTGCATAGTACTACCTGAAGTGCATTTATACTGGGAGGGGTTAGAGGAGGACACAGTGAAACATGGCATCACCGCATGATTTCTGTGACTGTTGGGGTGAGTCGCGTAGATAAATGTAGGCTTATCGGTTGGAGTCCGCGTGACAACTAAAATCGGTAGTTAGAAACTCTAGGCGATATGACTGAGAATTTGTGCCATTGGTGCGAATGCATTAATAGATTATCTCCATTCCCATCTTTTTATCACATTTCGTTAATTACATTGCCGCCCTACTCTCTTTTTATGAGGTTGGTCACTCGTGACTGAATTTCGCTTTCGAATTTTCCCATCCCTCTCCTTAAAGCCATGTATCTTGATGTTCTGATGTGAAGTATGGCGGTTGAAATTGTTGGACCATAATGTCAGGTCCTGTGCTTATATTGACTGAAGTGAAGGATGAGTTCTACCGGAAACTGTCTAGTCTCTTACTGAAAGCCGAACGTTCAGACGAGGTTGTCGTAACAGGTAATTTTAATGCCCAAGTGGAAAGATTATACTCGAGGGAAAAGTAATTAGGTGGCACATTCAGGATCCTAGACAACGGCGAGTACTTGTTAAAACTGTGCTCGGATAATCACTTATTTCTGGAGAGTACGAACTTCAGACAAAGAGAGACATTATGTGATGTGGTGTCCACCGATCTTAACTCAAACAGAACATTTCGCTATCAGTTATCGATGGAAAGCGTCGGTCGGTGGAAGATTGTGGCTACCTCTGAAGCATGCGTTTGGTCAGCGGTCACACGTTAGTTCGAGCGCGTGTAGTTTTCTTCTGAAATGGAGATGCGAAATTTACAATGGCAAGACCATTGCATACGCTGCTTAACGATGAGAATATTAAGGCTGCTTTCTGCAAGAAACTGGCTTAAACAGCCATCGTATAGAAGATCATTGCTCATTCATAAGAAGCCTGGTACCATCTCTTATTATTATTTCTTATTTACTTCTTAGGTTCCAAGCGGAACATAGAGCTTCAGTAGCACATCGTCATTTGACTCTCTTTTCTGCAGTCTTTTCAACCTCGCCCCACGACTGCCAAAAAGCCTTCATTTCTCCCTCACATGATCTCCTTCATGTCACCCTCGGACGCCCGACTCGTCGTTTCCCCTTTCGATTCCACTTGAGAGCCTGGAGCGTGATATCTGCGAATGGTTTTCTCAGTGCATGCCCAATCCAACGCCACTTACTTCTGCATATCTGTTGGGCGATGGCTTTTTGGTTGGTTCGTTCCCAGAGTTCCTTGTTGCTTATTCTTGTTATTCTGGCCATATGATCTTCAGCAACAAGCGTAGGCAGCTGTTGACGAATGTCTGTAGTTTGTTGGAAATGCTTTTCGTGACGCGCCATGTCTCTCAACCATCATATAGAAGCACCGACTTGACTGACTTAGTGTTGAAAATCCCGATCTTGTTCTTGATGCTGAGTGCAGTACAGCAGATCTCCATACTGATTTCAGTTAATCAAGACCTGTCTTGCTGTCTTTCCGATCCCAGCTTTGACGTCCTCATCTGTGCCTGTGCCATCTGTAGTTGAAACAATGCAACCTACGTAGGCGGAAGAGACAATTTCCTTTAGATTTCTCCCGTCGATAGTGATTGCTACTTGTTGTTGTTGTTGTTATTGGTTGGGCATCTTCATCACCTCTCTCTTCTCTACGCTCACTTGAAGTCCCGTCTTCGCTGCACTGTCTCTGCCAACAACTTCTTGGTTTTCGCCTGTGGACATTCGAGTTTGTGCGACAAGACATTAGACATAAATCATCATCGGTGAAATCCAGATCTTCTTCTAGGGTCTTTTCACCGGTCAAATAGCGTAGGCTCCTCTTCTCTCTCCTCACAGTTTGTTGCATGATCCAGTCCAGTCCAGTCAACCACAATCAGGAAGATCATCGGTGACGGTAGGCGTCAACCTTGTCTTACTCCTGTCTTCACTTTAAAAGCATCACCGAGCTCTCCATTGTGAATCACTTGGCAAGTAGCCTCGTCGTATAGCTGTTGAATGAGGTTGAAAAAGGTTTGTGGTACTCCGTAGTGTTGAAGCAGCTGCCTGCCAATTACTTCTCGGTCGACGATGTCGAAGGCCTTTTCAAAATCGATAAAGTTGAAGTAGAAAGTTGACTGCCATTCTATCCTCTGTTTTATGATGATGCGTAGCGTTGCAATTTGATCCGTACATGATTTGTTTCTCCTGAATTCAGCCAGCCTGTTCCGGTTGTAGTTTTGAATTTGGCGCATCCTTTAGTTTCTGCAGGATGATGCGGCTTAATATTTTGCTTGGGTGGATAGGAGCATGATTCCGCGCCAGTTCTTGCAAAGACTTAGGTCACCCTTTTTTGGGAGTTTGACAAGGCAGCCCTTCTTCCAATCGACAGGCAGGTACCTTTCCTTCTTCCTTCCAAACTATCTGCAATAGTGGTGTGAGCGATTCGGCTGCTAATGTCCCTGCGTCTGTTTTCAGTGCTTCTGGAGGAATTTCATTTGGTCCTGCTGCTTTCCCGGATTACAGCAACTTGATGCCATCTCTAGTCTGCTGTAAAAGCAGTGTTAAAGACCGTAACATATCAGGTAGTCTCCTTGTTTCCCTATCGTCAGAAATTAAATGACGGTAGACAATTTTTCACAATGGTATCTTTGTGATTACTTCTACAGTAATTCACCTTAGTTTCTGTTTTTATCCCCTTTTTACATTATCTTTACTTCTTCTTAATGCTGTTCAGTTACCTTTTGTCTTTTGGTGCCCATGAATCAATTCTGTCAGTCACGAAATGATATAGGCTATATAAACACAGCACACAATTAACTTCAATTTCAATATACAGCAGATGAAACGAACCTGTTTTTTTTATATCCATGCAGACACTGGCAATGTGACTTGGGTTCTTTCCTCTGGTGTATGTGCTTTAATTAATACCAGTTTCAGTTTTTACAGACTTAGCTTCTGTATAGTTGTCAAACGTCAAAATTTTATCGTCGTTGTGATCCTACAAGTATGTAGTTTTAGAAAATGCTTCTTTCAAAGGGCTGGTGGCTTTGTGAGACTAAAGGTTTTCAGAAGACAAATACTACGAGATTTCGTAGTTTCTTCTCAATAGCATAGCAACTAACATAATTTACATGGGCAAATTACTCCGGTGACTTTAAAGGCCACCTTGAAAACAGCTGTAATAACCAATCGAATTTCCGTATTCCGGCCAGAAAGGTAGCTCTTCACAAAACATAGAAACTTGGCTGGTTATCTTAGCAGTTGCTAGAGTGGCCTTAAAAGTCACTCAATTATTCGTCAGTATCTGTAGTTATGTGAAGGTAAAGGTAACAACCAATCAATATACGAGGTCAAATAGTTCAGGTAACAGACAGGGTTACATCCGTCATTTTCTGGATTAATAATTCTGTGCATATTTGAGTGAATAATTCAGTATTTCTGTCACCTTAAATAACTAACTCTGGATTTAAGTTATGTAAAACAAAAACAGTTATTAGTATTGATTTTGTGACCAGTCATCAATAAAAGCGTTACATAGATGATTTTGAATTTACATTCATGCTAAGTACATTTGGTTGAACCACGTAATTTGATAGCCATTAAGGTATTTTATCATTCTGATGGTTCTACCTATATAATTGGCACCACAACTGCAGGTGGACCTGTACATATAATGTGAGGTAGAGTTAATCAAATCTCGCCCTTTAATTGTTGGCACTAGAAGAGTAAAATAGCCATGAGGTTAAATAAAGAGAAGCGGTGTGAAGTTTATTTGCTAGCCTCCGAAGCCTGTTGTCTTTAAGTTGTAATAATGCATCAAAAGTTAAGCAGAAGCTTTTAACATGTATACCTAAATACGTACATAGCTTCTGAGAAGTAATTCATAATATTTCTTAATTTACTACCAAAATCTGACAATCGTCTAAGGAATACCTTAACCATTTTTATAATTGGGGACGTATCACAAACTCGCTTCAGAATAATAAATGCATTCTTTGTAAATTATAATGATCATGTTTAAACACTTAAGTCCCATACTTTTTGAGTGAACAATTCTTTTCCAGTAATCTGCATTTTCGTACTCGATAAAAGTAACAATAGAGGACTTTGATCAACATCATTAACCAGTACTTCCTGACCTTCACAGTCATGTGACTATTTCCTATAGACACAGGTAGCCAAGCAAGACGCATCACGTTTTCTAACTATTCTCACTGATGGGAGAGTATAACCACATAGAAATAAGCAACAAAGAAATACCAACAGACTTGTTTGTTTGACTGCGAGCCAAACATTCTGAGTGGTATCTAAATTTTCATTGGAACCTTGAAAAATCCTTGAAATTTAAACGTCCATACCAATGAGCTATAAATTGACTTCACACAGAACCTGATACTCAATCCAACTAACACCCAAAGATTCAATCAAATATCAACTATGTTATGTACACATTAGCTGTAAGTCGCCAAGGCTCTTAATTCTTCACTTTCGACAGTTGTTTTTTGGAGCAGAGGCTCTTGACAGGAGAAATCTTAGGTATAAAAGAGTTACTAAACCGTTAAAGCTCCTTAGGTGGTTGACTTTGCTGTGTGAAAATAAATTAAAAGTAATCGTAGCCAACTTTAAGCGTAGTTTTATACAGTGAAGGTTCAGAAAGTAAGCCAAGTATTTTCTGAATCACACTTACAGCACGCAGTATTACATTTCCAAAATTTCTTTCCAACATGAGTGTTTGCAGGAAATCTCGGGGTTGACCTGGCGCATCAGATAATAATCCCTTGTCAAAAATGAAGGCTTTTAAGAAATTCCACTTATATTTTTGTTGAAAATGTTCACAAGTTAACGAAATAACATGTTCCAATAACCTCCTCAGAACCACAATACTAAGTTCTGACAGAAGTGTGGTATGTTAAACATGATAGAATCAGACTAGGACAGGTCTGAAAAAGATCTTTAAAAAATTGGGAAAAAAAGGACCAGACACTTCGGGTCGTAGGAAATGAATATTCAAAATAAGAAATTTAATTCAAGTTTGTCTTACCAAGAATTTACATAGTGACTTCTCCCCTGCATCGAAGTAAAAGATGATGTAATTTAAAAAGGGGAAGAGATTTAGTAGGACAGCGGTACATATTTCCATGAAAAAATTCCATAGCCTTTCAAGATGATTTTGTGGCTTATATCTGGAGCATAACCATAAAGTGGGTACACTGAAAAGTCAGAGGTTAGACTAATTGTAAAATGTTACCCCACAATGCATGCTAGTAAGGACATATGTTTCTTCAAGTGGCTGAAGCCCAACATTATAACCAATAAACAGCTGTTTGTTGGTAAACTACTGAAAGTTGGAATTTCAAGAACCTGTTCGCAAACTAATAATGAGTAACAGCAATTAACCTCTTGTTCGATATCGACTAGAGAAAACTCCAGAACTGACCATATCAAATAGTGACATAAAAAGCAGTTGATAAGTAACATGTACAATAGATTAACTGGAGCATGCCTAGAAAATTAGTAGTCAACACAAAATGCAGTTACCATGAAATAGGTAAAAGAGTTCGCAAAGCCATTATTTCGGCCGAAAATATTGTACCCATTGTCAGCACAAGCAACCTAAAAATTTTCGATTAAAAAGAACACTCACAAGTTATTACTGCTCACCCGCGAAAATATTCTGCATAGTAAAAAATGCAAGCACAATGAAATTAAAAATCTATAAATGTTAGTTGAAGAGAAACTGATCTTACTCATTTCCAACGCGAAGACCAATAACAACAACCGCAGAAGCAACGTATAACGAAACTGTAAACCCATTTGGAACCTTCATTAGGACCTGTGAATCAATTAAAAAGCACTTTAAACTTGAAAATTTTGAAATCCTATAGCTATCACGAAGGATAATACATTTCAATTTGAAATATAATTACCAGGTAATTAGGAAAAGAAACACAGCATTATACATGGGAATAAGACAAGTTATCAAAATATAGTGGTTCAGAAAAACGATCACGAACGACATCTGCCATATCCTAGTAAACACGCTGGCACACTTAGGTAACAGTACAGTAAGTGAAAAGAGCGAATTCGCCACCAACAGCACGTTCATGAGCCACATTATGGACGACACTATGTGTGAGTGTTCACAACCACATAAACTGACTTTCCTCTCCTCTCCTCCTTCAAACTGTACTCCTGCCTTCTACATTACTGATGTGGTGAAACCACAACACAAAGTTAACGCTTCGAAGGCAACCGTGCTCAAATAGCTGAAGCTTCATTTTCTTTTACTTCAATGGCCATGTTTCACACCGAAACTAGAACACATCGAGCTGCAACACAGCACATTCGACCTTCATGACACAATCCGACACCACAGTGGCAACAAAAAATAGTGTATGTTGATGAAAGCTAGTCCAGCCATTTTGTATCCATACAAAGATTTCACCCATCACTACCGTACCAGGGTTGATCCGACTTCCTAGGTAAGTGAAGTGATCAACGCACTCAACCACTTCACTGCTGACTAACAGACAAGGCTCTAACGCATATCAGTCCTAGAGCAACAATTTCTATTTGCATTTCGAGAAACATAAACCAAACATTCTCAAATTGTCACTCAATGTGCTCATGAGACTCTGCATCGCATTGGTATCTTCATCTAAAACGACTACGTCATCTGTGTGCTCTAGACCTACCAAAGATTCACATGTGATGAAATCAGCAATATGACGACAGAGAGACCTTCATAAGTACGTCTATGATAAAGTTGAACAGAAATGGAGAGTGGATATCCTTGACAAACACCACTCGATGTGCACAGCTCACCTGGCAACTCAACATAGGCTGTAACACGCCAATGGGTGTTCATGAGCACAGCCTTTAACAGACTGATCTACTTACTCGGCATACCTTTTATTCAGAAACCAACATAAACCTCTCGGTCGACAGATTCAAATACCGCCTTCAGGTCAAGAAATATAGTGTCGGGGAACGGTGAGTATGCCTGTGTTCCAGAACATGGTCGAAGGTGAATATCTGGTCAATATGCCTTCCACCAGGTTTGAAGATTGCCAAATTTCCTCAGATTCCGTTCCTCAGCTCCACTCTAATTAACTGACAAAATTAACGTAGAACCTCACATATATGTGCATCGACTCAAGTAACCAGCTCCACTCAGACGTCTTATGACCGCAGAACCAAGAATTTCAGACATTTTGTTCTTCCGGCTGACTCCCTTACACTTATCACAAGAGGATTTTTCCCTAGCTGGAATTATATCTTACTCCCATACAGTGGCGATAACAGTTTAGTTAATTTGGCCAATAATCTTCTACAACCGACCTTAAATACCTGTGGTAGTGGTCGGTCTGGTCCTGCTGCTCTTCCTCGATTTAACTGACTTACGGCCTTCTCGACGTTTTAGGTGTTAAGGATCCTATCTCGATGTTCCATTCCAGATTCGACTGGATAACGGGCAACGGAATGGTAGCTGGAAGACAGCTAAACCATTTGTCGAAATGTTCTGCTCATCGTTCAAGTCATCTTTCCTATGAGTGAATCGCATACCTATCCTTTCTTGCCCTAGTTTCAGTAACCACTGACCTTTTCACACCAGTTTCCTTATTGTCTAAATAACTGTTTACCGTCATCTATCATCGTACCCTTTTCTATCTGCTTAGCCTTCACTACACACCACTATTCGTGGTCATCTGGTGGATGACATTTGACAGTCTCCATTTCAGTTGCCTCCGCTCCTCATTCTGCTCGAAGCCAACAATAGTGTATTCGCAAACATCCCTCGAGCACAATCTTTCCACTTGGGCATTAAAATTACCTGTTACGACAACCTCGTCTGAACGTTCGGCTTTCAGTAAGAGACTAGACAGTTTCCGGTAGAACTCATCCTTCACTTCAGTCAATATAAGCACAGGACCTGACATTATGGTCCAACAATTTCAACCGCCATACTTCACATCAGAACATCAAGATACATGGCTTTAAGGAGAGGGATGGGAAAATTCGAAAGCGAAATTCAGTCACGAGTGACCAAACCTCATAAAAAGAGAGTAGGGCGGCAATGTAATTAACGAAATGTGATAAAAAGATGGGAATGGAGATAATCTATTAATGCATTCGCACCAATGGCACAAATTCTCAGTCATATCGCCTAGAGTTTCTAACTACCGATTTTAGTTGTCACGCGGACTCCAACCGATAAGCCTACATTTATCTACGCGACTCACCCCAACAGTCACAGAAATCATGCGGTGATGCCATGTTTCACTGTGTCCTCCTCTAACCCCTCCCAGTATAAATGCACTTCAGGTAGTACTATGCAATGGGAGAAACGGTAAACAGGCTTGCGTGACACATGTCGCAGTCAGCTGAGTCGACGAAGCTCCACAACTTGATCAACTGACCTACCACCTTTGCCAAAAACTCTACGACTGACTTCTACATTCCACAACACATGACCAACACTATGAAGGCAAAACTGAATGAATACCTGAAGCCTTCTCATGTCCTCCACCCTTGATAACCATGTTTCCCAGCCATTTCGTAGAAAAGATCGAAGTGCTGTGCTTAATACCCGGCACTTATTCAGCAGTTAGACACCTCGCCGGCGCGACAGATGGTGTAAGTTAACCAAAAGCAATAGAGCTGTTAGCATCTGTGCCGAGTGTTCCTTTGTTTGTTTTTTATTGGGATTGTTCCAACTTCCTAAGTAGATGAGGTGGTGGGGGTGCTCCGTCACTTCACTTCCTATTGTTAGACGATGTAATAATGCAGTACAGTTATGATGTAACAATCAGTATTTCGGCAATGAGAAGCGCACCCTCAACATTTTCGAATCACCACTCAGTGTCGAGAAGACCGTGCGTTTTGTTGGCGTCTGAAACGACCAGATTTGTGGTGGCAACTTGTTTTACGCACTCCTACTCATCAACGGCCCTGTAGCACATTATTAGATGACTTAGGTTAATGCTGGATAAAACTAGGAAGTCGATAGATGGAAAGATGACATCACTTGAAGCTTTGCGACTGTTGCAACCCTTGTAGTGAAACAAGTTGGAGCCTGAGTGATAATCGGTGATCGAAGACGCTAGGCGATTTGCTCGGAATTGATCTCAGTGACGCAAGTGTGCCCACACGTTATAGGCATTTCAGTAGTCATGGAGAAGTGCCGGACCTTCTTGTTTAGTTTTTACGACTTTCTATGACTTGACAATTTTTTCTTTTATTTCTAAACTCTTTATCTTGGTACCTTTTACCCTGATATGCTGATATGAGGCATGGCAACCTAGACCGTTTAGCAATAATACTAGGATCCAGACTGGTGGTATTTAAAGTGATCATATCTTGTTTTTATACGCCGGTTACCATTCCAGTCTGTCTAGCTAATAGTCTTTGGTCAGTGTCTTTAACTATCACTGATTCAAAGCTATAAAGGCCAGTCGCACTTTCATTTTTCTGTTTGCTTACAGTTTTTTAACTTTTCCAGCTGAGTGCCGTACTTTTTGATGCTCATCGATCTTTTCTGATAGATATCGAGTACAATGGTGCGCGTAAGTCCCTTTCATGACAGATCAAACAGCATTCACGTAGAAACAACGAGATTCGATGGTCAAAAGGTACATGTGAGATGAATGCAGTAGTTGCATCTGGTAGCAGTCGGAAGCTGTTCCAGCTCATGAGCTACCGGCAGCAAAATTCTGGTGTCAGTTAGACCGTCTGTGAAGATGGTGATATGGCGATTACCAACTTCCACAGGCACCTAAAGCGCTGAGTAGAGCACTTCAGAAAGCAGTTCAGCCCACCTACTGTTCGAGCAACATTGGCCTCAATATCTTTTGATCCGTAATAAGTTAACACCGACTTCCTCAACGAAGTGTATGTCCACAGGAACCCTAAGGTTCGAAAGCACCATAAGGCACTCAGACCAAAGAAATTACCCCCAACTCCCTTTTTGAGATGGAGGTGAGAAGGTAGTCGGGGAACCTACTGCTTTGCTTTGAAAGGTATGGCAGACTTAGAATAAAAGTATCCTTTTATCCACCTATAAAAGGGTCTTCAAAATTAATATGTAATAATCAGGGTGTCAATCTACTGCCAGTAGAGTCTTAATTGTTAGGGATGATGTTTCATAGGCTGTTTAAAATGCATGAAAACTGATTCGTAAGGAGCAAGCTAAGTTTCGTTTAGGTCGTGGATGCATTGATCAGACGTTCAATATCTGTCAGATAATCAAACACAATCAAAGGCATTGCAGACCAACGATGGTTGGGTTTCTTGATTTTAGAACTGTTTTCGATTTATCGAATAGAACTGTACCCTGAAATTGTTTGTTTGAGAGGAGTGCTCCTGAGACGTCTGTTAGCATCTTGAAATATCTATACTTCAACACATCAGATAGAGTGACGGTATAAAGCTAGCTCTCCATTGTTCCAAACCAACAGTGGCGCTAGGTAGAGCTGTCCGACTTCACCAAGGATAACATTTTAGAGACAGACCTGAAGCACGTGGTAGTTGTGGTGGAATAAAACTGTTATCAGGTGACTTTGATTCGAAGGTAACAGCAAAACATAACTAACGTAGAACCCTGTACACAAGTGCAGCAGTTCAAGTTGCCACACTTCACAACAGCGTGCAAAGAACAAGTGTCCAATCTAACTCACTTACCGAGTGCTGAGAACCTTATCAGCTAACTTTTCTTCCTTCCCTAGTACCTCTCGTCCAACTCCAGCACTGTCAACATGGTGATTCCACCATACGCGAGTCATGCCATGAAGACAACTGTAACCAAAAACCTGAAGTCTCCTACTTTTA